AAAAAAAAAAAGAGATAAGCAAGGTCTTCATTAATATCATATGTCTATTTACATATAGTCGCGATGGGACTGGCTTGCTACTTGCATGTCAATATCCTTCCATCCTCTATCTCGCATTTGACTTGCGCCTGGAGTTTCGCCTGCACCAAATGTTCTAACCATACATAAACATTTTGCTTTATCTCTTTCAGTTAATGGGATGAGATGTTCTGATGGAATATTAAAACTGCATAATGATGTTAGTTGTGTGTGTGTAAGCTTTCTTTATACATACTCTATTCTATCTTGACAAGTCAATCCAATCAATTGTATAGACTGTACTGCTAGATTTGATACATCAAATGCAAGTGCCTAATGAGAGTATAAGTCATATGAAGCCACAGCACCCTTTAAACGTACTCTTGCTCCCCATTTATAGGTAGCATAAATATCCAGGCCATGTGGATCATTATCCATTAATGCCAGTATTGGCAATCGACTGTACTGTATTGAAAAGTGCTTTACAAACTGCCTGGTAAGTAAATCAGGATAGCCTTTTCCCTATGAAAATAATAAATGAAAAGGCCACTGTTTTCCCTTATTCTTTTTTCTTACAGTGACAAGAATGCAACTTTGAGGCAAGGTCTGGCAGAAACCAATAGAGACTAAATGGCGAAATGTAGCCTATTTTTTATATTTTTTAGAGAGTGTAAACAAAGGACATGTATACCCCTCTTTGGGTATGCAAGATACCTCTTTTTCAATAACTATTATACATCTTGCTTTACATTTTATCTCTGCTATCTGATTCACAGGGGGTATCAATATGCCCTAACGTATGAAGTCTTTTAGTGCTGTTTATAGATGACCTCGTGAATCGAATATACCTGCTCATCATGGCAGTTCAATGTTGGCATATGCGTCATACAGTCCAGTGTTTTATTATTCTTTAGTTTGATTACAATAGGACCAAAGATTAAACCCTTTGAGGAAGCACTCTATATGGATTTGTTTATTTCATTTTTTTTTTTCTGAAGACAACATGAAATTACTTACCACATTTAAAGAAGATCTTGGTACATTATAATGACAAGCTATGTCGTCCACAATCTGTTAAATGTTATATTATCGTTTGCTCTTTGATAAAGATTAAGGCTTACGGTATCTACTACACTTTGGATCCCAAATAAACCTACATCCCTATAGTACATATCTCGTTTCGTAATTATTATCCTATGAGCTATTGCTTCGTATATCATTTGCAATACGGAAAAGTAACGAGCTAAAGTCTTGGCCGATGAACCAGTAGATAGACTCAATGTCCTAATCTGATTGTCAATACTAGTTTGCTCTTCTCTATTCATTTGCTGATTGTAGTCGGCCTTTTTTCTTTTACTAAACTAATAGTTATTATGATAGATACGATCAATATAGTCCACATACACTCTTGAAGGTAGTCTCCTAACACTTAATGGAACCTTAATAGGTTGGCCAATGGATACAAATTCAATCATTTGCATAATGGTTTGTTCGATATCCTGCATTAATGCTTCACGAGGTTTATGAACTGTAGAGTTATTAGGTACACCACTCGAATCATCTGCATAAAGCTCTGGTACGATGCTATCACCATTAAGCCAATCCAAGGTAGACATTAACACAAAAAAAAAAGAAAAGAAAGAAGAAAGAAAAGTTGACTACAATTTATACGAAATTATAATAAAGTTATAAGAGAAAGAGATAGGAAAGGTATACATTCATATATACATGAGTCATGTATACATGTTAACAGCAACCATTACTACTTGAAGAAGCGTTTGCTGAAGGCAAAGATGATCCGCCTTGTGGAAGAGCCAGTTTTACACCATTTGACTATATTATATATATTAGTACTAAAGTTGACTATGTACACACACAACTTACTTCACTGGTTAAATCAATTGTTCCATCCTGAATCTTTCTTTGAATCTCTTCTGCGGTTTTAACGAAAGCTTCTTCTATATTATTAGCAGTTTTAGCTGATGTTTCCAAAAAGAATAAACCATTCTCTTGTGCAAATCTTTCTGCTTCTTCTCGTGATACTTGTCTCTTGCTTTCCAAGTCACTTTTGTTGCCGATCAACATGATCACCGTGTTGGGGTTGGCGTGTTGACGAACATCTTCTAACCAAACCGACAGATGTTCAAATGTTTCTCTTCTAGTAATATCATACACTAGTAAGGCACCTGCTGCTCCCCGATAATAACTTCGTGTGATTGATCTAAATGACTCTTGTCCTGCCTTTAAGATAAATATATAAGCCTTATTTGTGTTTGTGTATATAAATAGCATGTATTACTGTATCCCAAATTTGTAATTTTGTCTGTTGATCATTCACTGTAATGAAACGTGTACCAAAGCCAACGCTAATACAGTGTTATTTTATATACATCGTTTCTCTTTTTTTTTGAGTTACCCAATAGTTAAATCATGAGCTGGCATAAATCGTTTATCGGTAAACTGTAATAGGATGCAAGACTATGCGTGTTTGCTTTTGTAAGAATGGTAAAGACACTCTTTAACCTTATTTTCTATCTTTTTCTTTCTACTCACTTTTCCAACACCTAATAGCATTCAGTATTAGTAGCCCCTTTAATGTGTATGAGAGCACTTTAGAAAGTATTTTTTACCTGTATCACCAATAATGATGTACTAGAATAAATGAGAGTAAAGTTAGTATAGAGTAAAGAGTTTACTTGTATCTTTCGGTACTTTTATTATGTAACTGTAATTATAGTTGGACATGCTTGAAATAAAAAAGAAAAATTGACGGTTGACTAATGTTAGGCGCACGCCCTAAAAATGATATTAGTTACGTCACTTTTTTTTCTTTGGTTTATTCCACTTACTAAATTAGTAGGCCTAATGAAAAGCCTGGATGACTTGCTTTAAAGGTCCTGCACAGCTCGTGCGCCTCTCTGAAGCGACTATGGTTTTGACTGAATGTTAAAATTAGAAGAAATATAATATGTCAATATTGAACGGATATTTCTTGCTGCATTCACGTCTCAATTCCAGATCTATTCGAGTATCGTTAATTTGGAATTCTTGAACAGATAAAAATAATCTTACTCTGACTGCATCACCAACTGCACAGTCGTGACATACTTTCAATGGGTAGATGCTAATCTTTCTTTCTATATTTACTGTTTGTTAATTTTTTACCACTCTAAGTGTTCTTGTCAAGTACCTGGATTTCTGCACTCAACGCATTCGCTGCTCTTGCATATTACTTTTTTGTCGGATCCTAAACAGCTTAATCTACTTTTTTTTCATTGGGCAGCATCCTCTTTCTCTTTCTTTGTAAACAGTTTATTAGTCATTCTTAAATCATTAGATAAATGTAATAAAGTCATACCTGTGATTACAGATCAAAGTGTTTTCTGTCTCTTAAGCCTTCTGAAGTTTACTATGGCAGCTACTACACATTACGCTCGTTCTGTATTCATCTGCTTTAATGACTAAACATTTCTTTGAAAGTGCCATTTGGATCTCCTTGAAGATCAATAAGTTAGCTGTCCAAATTCAGTAATAGCCACATAACATTAATAATTACCTTCGCCGGGATTGAGACTCTTGACTTCATCGTCGCAGAAATAGATGCATCCCCATATGCAACTACACATCGTCTATCTTCTTCAGCCACTGACAGATATTCTTTTATTTTTTTCTTCCTTTTCTTCTTGTGTGTCTTATGAGTCAGCATAGACGGAATTGGTTTTCTTTTATCTAGTTTACCGATTATCATGTCGGTAACATTGTTCAGGGCTATTCGCTTGTTCGAATACATATATCCTTGATTCACTCGATGCTTGTAGCTTTTATTAAAGTTGAATATCCTACAAAAATTAGCGTACCAAGGGGTATAATCAATTGAGATGCATGACTTTTTTATGGGATCTGCTTTAAATTAACGACAGCTTACTTGTAGTTTGTGTAAATAATGATAAATTAATATAAAACATCATACTTTTCCAATTTCGTGTATAGTTTTAGTTTAAGAAGAAGAAAAAAAGTTCTTATAAAAAAGGGGTATTCAGGTTAGTGTAACCGCTTGTTCTGTTTTGGAAACATGGTTCACTAAACTGTTAGATTAGTCAACTACATGAAAAAAGCGTCAATCTTCAAGAGGAATACAGTCTCCATTGTACACTAAAGTTCATACCATAACCATTCTTTCTTTAGGCACGGCCATTGGATAAAAACAACAACAGCAAGCTTAACAGATAGCCACTAGGAATATTCTATAGAAGGGTTTTTATAATTAAAGCTTTTTAATACAATCAATAAAGATGTTTGGGATAATGGAAATATGTAGGATAGAAATAAGAAAAAGATAAAGGTACTGTTAGAACTGTGTATATCCTTTGATAGAAAAGATATAGCAAGAATATGATACCTTTATTGATATGAAAAAACCTCCTCTATATATACTTTTTCTTCAACAGGTAAACCTAGTTGTGGTATTTACACGCTAGATACATCGTATACAACATATATCAGTTTAGAGATTTACCTATATAAATGATCTAGAAGCCTCATTGAGGTATAACTGCAAGGATAACACTTTGACATTAAATGAAAAACCCCACAAAGTGTAGAAAAGTAAAACCCCCACGCACCAATAACCATATATAAGTCAATAAGACATTTACTTAATAAACGCATTATTCTTTTGTCCGATTGACTTTTACGCTAAACACTTTTTATATTCAGTAAATATCACAATAAGGAATAAAGCTTGATTTTGCAAATACAGGATATATTAAGAGTATATTTTTAATTTATCTTCTGTCTTTCTAAATGAATGTTTGATGGTAATTCTTCTACTTGATTACTTCTTAATACAACTTCTTTATAAATCTGTGCAACCTGAAGCTTCCACGAACTGGTAACTTCGTCAGGACTTAGATTCTCTACAACTTCTTTCAACATCTTCAACTTTTGCACCGTATTTTCTTGCTCCCTTAGCAGTTCAGGTTCAGGTTCAGGCTGCAATCCTTCAATGCTTGATACTTCAGTATAACTTGGGCCTTTAAAAAGAAAAGCGTTAGAGCTTTCTTTTTCACGAGCATTTACATTTCTCACCTCTCCAAACATCATATTCAGTACAACATCCCAGAAAGAACATATGCTTGCAAACCCTGTTTCGGTATCAAAAGTCTGGGCAACTACAAGGCTTTACCGTATCATTTTCAACACGAACTTCATAAGTTTCGTCTGCATTGTTGAACGACTGAATATTGTACAAGCTAGTTCTTTCTACTTCAGAATTCATGTCCATTGCCACATGGATGCTGGCCTCTTCAGCTTCAAGCTCCCTTCTTCTTGCTTCTCTTGCTTCAGGTCCTATTCTTACAACATTCATTCTGATACGATTTATGTTGCTTAGAAAGTCTTCTTCAACGTCATTGACCAGAATATACACCAGTCTGTCAACTCTTCTATTTCTTCCTCTTTGCAAATAACTAGTCTTGAGCTGGCTGTGCTCTTGTCCACTTAATGAATCTGCCGTTATCCAAATAGTTGTTCTTGAAATAGAGCATGAATGCTGGGTATATGCTGAGCTTTCTGGTATATTCAGCTTTGCTGTTCTCCACATCATCCCCTTCAGTTGTAAGATAGCTGGCTGATGCGCTCTTTTGCTATCTGGTAGACTTTCAAGCACAAGCTTTGCTCGTACTTGCTGTGACATTGCTGTCAGTACATGAAAAAGACGCCATTGAATGTTGACAGATGGAAATGTACTGCGAATCGCATTTTCTTCCATGTTGCTCATGTCAACTGTAATTTTTTTCAGGACAGAGACTGGCAGAGTGTTTTAAATGGTAGAGCCAGTGACTTGCAGGCAAGAAAGATCTGTCAGTAGTGAAGAGGTATGCAACAGAACAGCCAGTTCCAGTTTCTGCATGTCTGATCACCAAAGTACACAACAGGCCATCTTTAAATGCAGTTGTATTATGCCTTGCATCCAAAGAAAAATTCTTCCTTTCGGCTAAAAGGGATGCTTGTTAACTTGAACAGAACTCAAAGGTGAATGAACTGTCGTAGCCATTGTCGATGTATACATTGTAATTTTTTGATTCCAAGTGGTTCAACCATAGTTTGACAGAGGCTTTCTGATCGTCATGCCTCCTGTAGGCCTTTTCAAATACCTTACTGAAGATGTTGTACACATCTTCACTGTGAATAAGGTTATTCCTGTGGGGGAATGCTTACCGCAGCTTCATTTTGAGAGCGAAATGCTCTATGCAAAGCAAAACGTACACTTCTCATATTATATCCTTCCTGCAGTCGCTGAAAGATGGCTTCTTTAACATCTGCATACAGAGGAAGGAACTGAAAATCCTCTGCAGAGCCAAGTACCTGACAGTAGTTACCATCCGCCGTGATAGCCACTTCCTCAGGGTTGCCGAAATAGCAAGTTGCTATCAAACGAGCCTTACATCTGATCTTCTTGCTTTTTTTTTTTTTTTTTTTTTTTTTGCAAGGTTCTTTGAACGGCCATAGCGTGTCGCTTACCTCCAGCGCGATAGTATTCATACAGACTTCTCCAAAGATAATCTGCACGAGATCTACCTCTAGCTCCATCCGACTCTTAATCCATAATGTCATTTCTATTTGTCTTCTTAATAGCCCACTTGGTACCATACTTAATTACGTGGCTCTCAATAACTTACTTGTACTGAGCGATATCTGTAACTTGAAGCTCAGGTACAGGACTGTAAGTATCAATATTAATTTTTAAAAAGATAGAAATAGAGAAAATAGTATAGCTATAAAATAAGAAGCAGTGTTTTATTTATTATATTAATATTTGCTTTAGAGAAACAAGATGTCGGTGACTAACAACTTAGATCACTGAGAAGAAATGATATAGTTCGAAATAGGAATACAAAGTTTAAAAGAAAAACTGCCACAAAAGCAGTGTTTTTCGTTGGGTATTTACGTAAAACGAAAAATTAATGAAAAAAAATGCAATTCTCTATCTCCTGGCTTTTCTTATCAATAGCTCATGTTTGTTATTTAACGCTTAGCTTGACTGCCTTTGGCGACAATCTCGTTACATGAGTGGAAAGTATGCGTGATCAACGCGAAGCAGTCATCGTGACCAATGTTCTCTCATTTTTCTTATTTCGGTCCCCTTTTTTGGATGACTCTGACCTTGTCATCATTACCACCGATAGGAAAATGCGACTCATGCTCTTGACGACATGAATTTTGTAAACATGTAAAAGAAGCTATTTGAGAAAACTCAGGAACTGGCTGTCATTCGATGTGACTTGCATCCACCTTCTGTGATGTCATTGCTGAGATTTAATTTGAATAATTACGCGTATTACTCTTTGCTGTGTTGACTACTCGCCCTTTATTTTTCTTCTCTTCAGAATCCAAAATATAACCATGCCTACGACAGTCCAACCCTCCATCACAGCTCACGTCCATCCTCTCGTCTTACTTTCAGCGACTGATCACTATAACCGAGTTGCCAAAGATACAAAAAAGCGTGTTGTTGGTGTGTTGCTAGGTCAAAATAAAGGAAAGACTGTAAACATTTCAAACAGTTTTGCAGGTAATTAATAAATATTCGAACCTTTAATGTTCACTTATGCAACTCCATGTGTGTAGTTCCCTTTGAGGAAGATGAAAAAGACCCTTCTGTTTGGTTCTTGGATCATAATTATGTTGAAGCAATGAACGATATGTTCAAAAAAGTAAACGGTAAGGAACCTAATAAAAGAGATAACAAACGAAACATAAGCTTAATACATTTTGTAGCAAAGGAAAAGTTAATCGGATGGTATCATAGTGGACCCAAGCTTCGTTCTTCTGATTTGGAAATTAATGAACTCTTCAAAAGATATACACCTAACCCTGTGCTCGTGATTATCGATGTAAAGCCCAGTGATGAGGAAATACCAACAGATGCTTACTTTGCTATTGAAGAAATCAAGGACGTATGTTGTAGAATACACATAATTAAGACTCATGTCTTACACTGTTTATTGTTATCATGTAGGATGGTACGACAACTACCAAGACATTCATGCACGTTCCATCGGAAATTGTAGCTGAGGAAGCTGAAGAGATTGGTGTTGAGCATCTGTTAAGAGATATCAAGGATAATGCAGTTGGTACACTATCCACACGTATTTCTTCTCAGTTAGGATCACTAGGCGGATTGCAAGGTCGACTTGAAGAGATCCGTAATTATCTTCAAAAAGTAGTGAGTGGAAAGTTGCCTGTCAATCATCAAATCATTTATAACCTTCAAGATATGTTCAATTTGCTACCCAACTTGGAAAATCAAGAGATGGTCAAATCATTTAGCACAAAGACAAATGATCAATTGCTGTTAATATACTTGTCAAGCATGATTCGTGCTGTTATCGCTCTTCATAACTTGATTGACAATAAAATCGAAAATCTCAAAGGCGAAAATAACTTACAAGAAGAACAACAACAGCAACAACAAGAAGAAACTAAGGAAGACAAAACAAACGAAAAGAATAGTAGCCAAGATAGTATGCAGATTGAATAAATCGTAATAATAAAAAAGAGGGGTCACAGTGGCTTAAATGACTCGTTTTCTGAACACAGCCCAGTCTTGTGTGTATTTTGATATATTCAATTTAAAATTTTTTCTTTCTCTTTCTTTTACTTTTATTTAAACAATGGCTCCCGTCAAGTCCAAGAAGAACGCTGAATCCATCAACTCTCGTCTTCAACTTGTTACCAAATCCGGTAAATACACCCTTGGATACAAGTCTACCTTGAAGACTATCCGTCAAGGAAAAGGTAAAGTATAGACTACGCCTTTGTAACTGGGGGGCAGGAGCCCAATAAAAAAAGTAGTCTTTTTTATTCAACAGTCTTGCCCGTTTCCCCCTGTTTAGGGCTGAGAATGTCCCCCCAACCAGTGACTGACACTCTGTTTGTCTATAGCCAAATTGATCATCATTGCCGGTAACTGCCCTCCTCTTCGCAAGTCTGAAATCGAATACTATGCCATGTTGTCCAAGACTGGTGTTCATCACTACAACGGTAACAACATTGATCTTGGTACTGCTTGTGGTAAGCTTTTCCGTACCAGCGTTCTTTCTATCACTGATGCTGGTGATTCTGATATCTTGTCTGCTCAATAAATGGGATGCCTCCCTTTTTTTCTCCTTTGAATTTATTTTGTCTTGTATAAAGATGTTGTTGTGATTCGAGAAGCTTGTACGCATATCCAGATGTATCACTGAGCGCTTCAAAGGAGAGTTGAACATGCTTTAGCTTTGTATATGATGAATACGAGAAATGTTTATGAGAAGCTTGCTGCTAATCTCCAATCGATATTGAGAAAGCAAACCTGTTTTTGAAATTGTATCATTTGTTGACCTGGTGATTACCAAACGGTTAATCAACAAATGTAGGATGTACAAATGTATCTTCACGTCATTGGAGGTCTTAACCGATACATAAAAGACCACTTATCGGATACGAAGCCGATAGTAATCAGGATACCATCAATACTTTTCCAAGACATGGTTGCGTACATCAATGTGTTCACTTTGCTCGGAGAAGAGAGAGCGCAAATGAGCACAACCGTGATCAGGACGTTGCGCGACTGATTTTTTATCGATAGGGCTGTTTTCACTCAAAAGCATCATAGAATGATGGAAGAGCACATCCTGCCTGTGATCATTGTGTGTTGTGAGCGAATACATAAGACAAGCACGGCCGGTCTTCCGCACGGCTCTGCTTGATAGCTTTTTGTAGATGTTGATCGCATTTGTCAAAGCACCAACAGAAAAGCTTCTATGATGTCGTAACGCTCGCGCACTGTATCTTAACTATCATCATGATATTTGCCTACAGTCATCTCAACTTACTTGCACTTGATTACGTACTGGCTGTTGATCCTTTTTGACCTCAAGAAATGACTGACGAGGGATATTGAAAAATTGTTTATCTATTCTCTCAGAATCTCTTAAGATTGCCTATCTGTCAGTGTCAAGGTCATATTGAGGGGGGGGGGGTAAACTCTGATGAAACAAGTCAGTCAAAGATGTATCTGTTTTAAATAATGTTTTATTTTCTACATGTATTCTTTGATGTCAAGACTCCTTTTGGTTATTTAGTTTTATTTTTATTTTTTTTTTGGCTTTATTTTCATATTTAATTATTCCCATGATTGTTCAACCGTTTCTCGAACTCTTCGTACATACTCCTTTCTGTTCTCTCGATAAAGATTAGCGGCTTCTGCGTTAGCTGGAGAGTTGGGATTGGGATCATTAAAGAGTGATTGAATACTAGTCAAGATGGCAGCTACATCATAAGTTGGACTCCAGCGGTTTTGAAGGATATCGAGACAAAGTTCTCCATTTGCATATACGTTGGGATGAAACATTTTCGAAACAAACTTGACTTGAGGTGGTTTGTTTGGCTATAATAGATGTAAGCTTACGAAGATCATATATTTATATAACTTACATATGTTTCATCAAATTGTAATACTAATTTAAATGTGCCATCCTCAAAAGGAGTATCAGCTATAATAAAAGGTTAAATTTAGAATAATTTAATATTATTTATTTCTTTATTTTACCTGGACCAAAGATGACGGCATTCCACATCATAATATTGTCCGGACAAGGAGCGCCTAGAAAAAGGATAGATGTTAAAAGAGATGAACTCTGATGAAGTCAATCTATATGAAATAGTTTCTAACCTGATACACCAGCTATATATTTATATAAGTACACTATGTATATACATTTATTATTGTTATTGTATACCTGGTGGGTCACTTTGAATTCCTTTGAAATCACGCATGAGTCGTCTTCTAGTGGGTGTAGACATTGTGTTGAACTATAAAATAAAGAGAGAAAAAAAAGAAAAGAAAAAAAAAAAAAGATAAAGAAAAATCAGGTTGTGTGTGTGTATGTGTGTCTGTGAGTGTGTGTGCGTAGTAGTCAACAAAAAGCCCTCTCGTGACTGGTGAATCGTAATCGAGAGAGAAGGAGAGAGGGAGAGCGAATTTTCCTGAAACTTACGGTCATTGAATTATTCACCAATTACGTCAATTCAAGAGAAAAATGAACCAATAAAAAAGTATAGCTGCATTGTAAATTTACATTCATAAAGAGAGAGAAACAACCGTTTCTCCTTTGTTACTGAAAATACAGAGTAGCCAATCAAATTGTATTGACAATAAACACTAAGGTTCTTACATCTGAGGCTTACTAATACTGAATTTAATAATCTAGTCCTTTTGCTGGTCCTTTCGAAATCGAAGTTCGGTCGATTCATAAAAGGATTTTAATCGACTTGGCTGATTTGACTCTTGATAGCGCAACATATAGTTGGTAAAGACCAATTCTGTCGAGAGTTTAACCCTGTGTTTTGTTAATCGTCATTGCAAACGCAAGCCGAACAGGGAATTGGTAGCGCTTGAATTACAAAGCGTCGTTTTTGGAGGAGATAGACTTTACCTTTGGTATGCAAGTGGCCATTCTAATTTGTGAGCCTGTTGCTAGTGTTACTCCAATTACATTGGTTAACATCATCAATAGCTTACTTCTTTAATAAGCATAAATTCTGCTTTATTCTACCGCATCAGATGATAAAAAATCACACTGATTGTCGTGTTTCTACGCTTATATAAAAGAAGATTACATCCTTTGACGTCAAATAAGCAATATATTCCGTACACAAGCCAAAGTCATATTAAATATTAACATATTAAGCCTACGACGCTGATTCATGGCGCCTGTAGTCTGTAGGAGTTGATGATGCGTCATATCTAATATGGTTGGCAACATTTATTCTTGCATATAAAGATCAATTTCTTTTTTGTCATGAATCTCTTTCTTTCTTTGTTCATAAATGATCACAAAGAACCTTATTTCATTTACTTATATTTTCTAATTTTCCAAGGTATAAAACATTTATTCTTCAATAATATCACACTGACAACATTAATCTTGCTATAAAACTCACACACATTTTCTTTTAATAATATTCATCTTTTCTTTTCAACAAAGAACTTAAATTCGCAAGACATCGACTTATTTGGCTTTTAAGCATCATGCTAAAGACTTTCTGTAGGTCCTGTCGCATCCCAAAAAGCCAGCTCTGTGTCGGACTTGCTTAAAGAGTGGGAAGGGATCTACGTGTATGCAAACAAAAAAATCGAAATCCTTAAAACAATGAACGAATTGCTTTATGAGCAATGATCAAGAGCTAAGCAGTGGGGAAATCAAAGTGAGTGGTTCTGATGAAAGATTGCAAGAGGACAAAGCTCGTTTGGGGCCGGATGTGATCTCGTTGCAAATGCGGCCTGAATAACTTTTGTTTAAAAAATAAACAATACCGTTCTCCTGCACTGAAGTTAGTTTTTTTTTTCTTTATTTTCATTATGGTTTCGTGCACTAAGCTTTCAACAATGCTTGCGCTGCTGTAAAAGGACAACGACTCATGATTAAAGACATAGAATACAGTCGTACCTTAACTTCGTCAATCAAGCGGACATAAGCTTACTTTGACTGGTAAAGAGACTGTACTTGTTCGCTTTTAGCGATTCAATAAAGTAAAGGCGGCGTTTCTTGTATAAACACTTGGATAATTGTAAGCTACGGTTAATCAAATTAATATAAAAACTAGTCATAAAAAGGCTGTTGGCATTTTATTAATTTTAAGAGAAAGGGATAAAGAGGGGAAGGGGAAGGGGGGGGGGGTATAGGAGAATATGTACAGATACAAGTTATTTTCATCGTCTTCTCTCTCGTTTTCTCTTTATTCGTCCTCTCCAGGAATATCGCCACCACGAAATAGGTAAATCAATTCGTTAAGACCTAATCTACTCAGTGATGTTCTTGATCCTTCACCTAAAACGCCGTCTGCAATGTCCTGATGTCGCAGTCAGTCACTTGTATCCTTTTGTATTATATTTTATGTGTGTATATACCTGTTTTTTCTGTTGTAGTGCCAGAATACGATCTTCTACTGTGTCCTTGACAAATATACGATGTACATCCACGGGCTTGGTCTGTCCAATACGATGCACACGATCAATGGCTTGATTTTCAATGGCTGGATTCCACCAGAGATCAAGGAGGATAACACGGTTTGCACAGGTCAAGTTAAGTCCCAAGGATCCACATTTGGTAGACACAATCAGGATCTTGATCTCTGGATCATCAAAGAACTTATTGACTGCATTGGATCGATGTCGTACATCCATAGAACCATCATATCTCAAGAACCGGTATCCCTTCTCTTTCAAGGGCTTTTCAATAATATCAAGCATGCCAGTAAACTGAGAAAAGATGATCGTCTTGTCTTGATCATTTGTCTCTTGAGCTGTCTGTTCAAGAATCTCCAACATCTTGTCAATCTTGGCGCTCGAGATAAACTCGGCAACTTTGGCCACTTCCTGTTCAGGAACGACTTCCTCTGCTTCTTTGATAAGATCAGGTGCATGTACCTTCAAGAACGATTCGACATCAACTAACATCTGTCTGTCAATAGGACCACGACACTGAGGACAACGCTTCATGTTGCCATCTTGATTGTTCCAATAATCTAAGAAACAATTTAAAAAATCATTCAACAGATGTTATGTATGTTTACTTACTGTCAAAGCACTCTTTACAGAGGATGTGACCACATTGCATAATTTGTGCGTCAGCAGCAATATCCATACAGATGGGGCATTCAATCTCTTTTAACGAGATAGCATCACTTAACAAACGTCTGACCACTTCCGGTTTCATTTTTTTGGCAAGTTCAGTGCGTTCACCATGCTTGGCCTTCTCGACAGCAGTCCCTTCTTCTACAGTCAAACTGGGATGCAAACAGGCCTGTCTAAGACGTAGCAGAAGCACGAGGATGGAGGAGTAGTTCTTCATGACTGTGCCTGCTTGCATATATCGTGTGAATCTTGCTTGAGCCCTAGCGTTCACAAAGTCATAGTGAGTACGCTCATCAGGCGAGAAATCGACATAGGTCATGTGAACATTTCTTTCAGGAAGATCCAGGATCGGTCGTCCATCAATCACTGCCTTCTTTGAGCGTCGCAGTGAGATCGCCTTCATTAACACATGAGCGACTCTGATACCCTTGTTGGCATTACCCGAGCGCATCGGTTTGATGATTGTATCTCTAAATTCGTCCCACTCGCAGAAAGGACGAATACGCAGAAATTTGATCAAGGAATAGAGTTCATCCACCTTGTTTTGAATAGGAGTAGCTGTCATACACCATCTGTAAGTGCTCTCTAATTGACAACTATAACATGGGTTTAGTCGTCGCCTTGGCGAAATTAAAAAAAAAAACTTACCATCCACGAGCAGCCAGAGTTCCCTTGTTTTTGATTGTATGTGCTTCGTCTAGAATGACTCTATGAAGCTTGACTTTAGAAAGTGGACCTTTGAATCTTTCATTAAAATCAGATGCGGCTACTGCATAAGAAGTGATGATAACTATTTAAAAACGTTAGATGAATTATGATATATTCTGTGTTATCGTTACCGTCATAGTTTGCAAGTGCATAAGGATTTCTAGTTCTCCCAGGGCCATAGTATAAAAGAACATTAAGTTTTGGCTCTGTCTTTGATTCAATCTCTCTACGCCATTGATCAATTAAAGACACAGGGCAGACGATCAAAGTGGCCTTTAGGTTGAGCTCACCAGTAACATCGACCATTCTTTTCGATATGTTACTCGGGTCAACTGGTGTAGGGTTCTCACAGGGATTGCGGCAAATGATAGACAATGCTTGTATTGTCTAACAAAAGACAAGTGAGTTGTAAGAAATGTGGCATTTTATGATAAATTTACCTTTCCAAGACCCATATCATCAGCCAGAATACCTCCGCGGTTGTTGGATGTTTCCATCTTGTACATCCACTGTAAGCCGATTTTCTGATGCTCAAGCAGGTTGATACTCATTCGATCAGGCGTTCCTGTTCTGTTTTCTGGTGGCGGCGGCTCATCATCTGTTATATTCTGCAACAAGGTACGTAGTTCCCTTTCAGCCTGCTCGGGTGATATAGTAGAAGAGCGTATACCAGGAAGGGGAGGTGTAGACAGCTGTTGTTCACGTATACGATCGATAATGGCAGACATATGGTCTAAGCGATGCGCACCACGCAAGGTATCAGCACTTAGGGCGGGAGGTGGTATAAAACTAGAAGGATTCAAGGCGCCAGGCTCTATATTAAAGCTGGATCCACTACATCTAGATGCTATCGGACGATGTGCTTCCTTGTCTTTTCTTCTTTGAGCTGCTGCAGAGCTAGAAGCACCAGGATTGTATCTCATCCAAGGCACATGACTAAGATAATCAACAACTTCTTCATCCGATTCATCCTCCAAAGGAATGACTTCATCCAATTCATTTTCCTCTGTAAGGTCAATCAGATAAGTATTATCATCTTCATCATCTAATTCAATTATATTCCCCCTTCTAGCTCGTTTATTCCTGTCTTCTACTTCAGTCGCTTCATTTTCTCTCTTCAACGTGGTCTGTAGAGGTGTTGGTGCCGGTGTTTGTGAACCCGAAGGCTGCTGTAATTCACGTTCATAAGTTTGTTGCATCAATCTGGCCATTTCAAGATCTCTCTTGGTTTCCCGTTCAATTCTTTCTTCCAACTCCTTTTGAGCACGGATCGTCTCAATGTCGATACCTAACGCACGTAATTCATCAGGATTTTCGAGACCGGCTTCAACAAAGAATGCATAAACATCATCGTCTAGAGAAGAGCTGCCCTGGGCTGTTTGACTACTACTGCTGCGGCTATGGGTGTCGTTATAATCATTTATGAAAGCCATTTCTTCTGCTGTCAAGTCAAGAATGTCGCTATCAGAGTGATCCTCTTCTTCGTTATGAAGATGATTGTTATCAGAAAGAGAGTGAATAATGGCCTCTTGTATTGATTCCGTCTCTGATAAAACGTCAGACTCGTTCGCAGCCATGGTTATTAATAATAAAAAAAAGGCAAAAAAAAAAACAAACAATCAGCTTTCAGTTTGTTGATATTCAACGTCACATCACTCTTTTGTTCTAAGCGCAAAAACCCCTCTTTTTTAATTAAACTGAGGATGGTATGGTATAAATGAAGCCTTGTTAAGAATTGTATAACGTGCATCAGCAAAAGTATAAAAGATGCACATAATTTATTGTTAAACTTGGCACTGCCTTGTTTTCATCTATGTTATTTACAATTTTATAATGTCGGATGTATCAAGAAAAATATCCCCTGGATGTTCTCGCTGATACTCTAAGCAAACATTCTTTAGATTATTAACAAAGGTTGGTACAGCAGTCTTTGCAGCCCAGTTAATAACCGACTTTGGTATACTTCCCTAAGGAAAAAAAGTTACTTTTCTTTTCTGTATTCGTGATATTACTTACCTTTGGATCATCAAAATAGTCCATAAAGATAAGGCACCCATGGCCATCTTTATTAGGAGAGATACAAATATTTTGCAAATAAGTGTCAATACGAATCGTTCCTTTGCTACAAGGAAAGCTGTCTACAGGCAACGACTCGCCCAGGATAACAATGTGCACTATATCATTTTCGTCTTGTACCAGCTGCTGTTCCATGACATAAGCGTAATCACGATTGGAAAGTGGCCAAGGGTACTTGATTTCAAAGTGAATGGCTTTATTGCCATTGTGGTCAAAGTATTGATAACCCAACATATGTTTATCCCATTGCTTTCTAAAATCGAGATCAAGATAGACTTGAGCTAATGTCGTTGGCTTCACCTCATTCCAACCTCCAATCGCTCTATACTGAAATAATTTATCGCTTTTCCCGTGAGCAGGTTTTCGATAGACCATAAATTCTGGGTTACGCTCATACAACTCCCAACCGTTCAAAAAATCTTGGTCATTTTTGCAGCGGTTGACATATTCACGGAAAGTGTCCTTTGAAAAGAATGGCATAGGTACAGCAGTTTCACCGTCAATAGAAAATAGCAGTCGGACTCTAGAGAAAAAAGGGGGACAAAGACGAAGGGATGTGGTCAGTGGCCTTTAGATCGCGCTTTTAAATCCTGTATTTGAAAGTTGGAGAAAGAGATGAAGAACAAAAAGAGGCTTACATATCAAGGATATATAGGTGAAATAGATTTTCAAATGAATGAAGGTGATGTCCATGCTGTGGGTAATCATCAACCTAAAACAATAATATTTCATAACGGTAACCTTTGGGCTTTGGAGGCTTCGCTTTTGATCTATTCATAGGGTACAACTTGCTGAAAAAGCGAGAGTGATCGGTTCCACCACAAGAAAGACATCGAGCCTACTTTTGCTCATTACTTAATGTCTTGTTCTTTTCTTTCTCCTTTTTAATTGCTTCAGTCATAACAACCTTGTTTATATATTAGTGGCTTTGATCGGGACAAAGGTACAGCTAGAGGAATAAGTAGGAGCGTACAATACAGCTTCAATGCTGGTATCATTGTTAGCTGCATGTATAGATGTCTGGCCACTGGTAACAACATTTGAAGGATCAGGAGCAGATATATCTTCTTTAAAAGCTTTCAAAGTAGCTTGAGTATTCTTGCCTATTACAATAATCTGTTATGGAACTGATAGGTGTTATCTTTACCTTTTCTAAGCAATGGTGTTTCTTGAAAATCATCATCACTTGCTTCAAAATATGTATTCTTGAATAAGCTTGTTTGAGTTTGTGCAAACAAAGAAGAGAACCAGCGAACAGCGGCTAACGGACTCTTGATATCATGTCAACTTTATATCTTACGTATCTTTCCCTTTGTTGCGCTTTGCCTTTGAGGGCAGAGGGTCGTCATCTTTCGCTTCATATTGAAGTAAAGAAAAAACAAAAAGTAACTGCTGTTAACCTTGTATCGGCTTGATCTCGTAGTCAAATCCAAGAAAGTAAGAATGATGAAAAGTTATTCACTATGAGGCAACTGTCTTCTCAATATCCTCATCTATTTTGAAGCTTATACATGTTATGGAAAGTCTTCTTTAATCATTAATAGCCAGCGCATCAAATCGGTTTCCCCTTTTTTCTGACATTAGAAAAAAGGCAAATGGAATCGAGACCGATAGGAAAATCGCATTACTCTGTCATTGTATTATCTTGACGAAATGAATATACTCGATATAGATTTTATCCAAATCCGTCTTATCATGTTACACTTGATACAAGTATGACAAAAGAGGCATACACCAATGCTACTTGTGATCACATAATTATATCCTGAATGGGTGATAACAATCTATCAACTAGTATCGAGTCATTTCGAATATCGCGATATGTAATAGAATTAAATGACATAATAGATCTCTTATTAGCAACGTGGCAACGTATATCCTATATGAATAGTATTGGTTGTAAGGGATCCTTATGATCGCAATAAGTTACTCTCTATCGTTGGACGTTTCGCTTGTTAATTCTCCATTACAAAGATCTAATTTCTTTTCTTCTTTTTTTTTTCTATCTAAGTCGGAAACGATGACTCGTAAATCAAGATGAAAGCACAAGTTTGATGATTTGCAGTTCTATAAGATCGAGTCGACTCTTTACTCATAATAGCATATGATTCGCACAGGCAACTCTATGGTTTTATAATGATACAGTAGGCATACTGGATTAAGCCTTGAATTATAAAAAGACCATTACTAGAAAGCTCATTCACCATTTGTCTATAAGCTCTTTTCTCATCACTTGTTGGTTTATCTCGTAGATTTTTTTATAAATGAAATCATCAGTTAAATAAAAAAGTAACCATGGTTGTCTTCATCCTAGATTCCGATAAGATGGTAAAAAACTCTTTGACATCTTTCAGGTTGTAGAGGCAACAAGCCAAATTGCACAAAAAATGAAAAAGTGAAATTTCAACCTACGACAATTTGATTAACACGCGATATTTTAAGCTCTGATAGAATCACTGTTATGTAATGGGCTCGATTTATCAACCATAGTACAGCCATTACATAATTCGTCCTCCCCCTATTGTTGCATCGAGTACACAAAAGGGCAAGAATTTGGTTAGTGTAGTAATTGACTGCTTTCATGCTGCTAACTATTCCTTTTTTTGGCGCATTTATTCTGTCACTATTGTACAATTAGTATCATCCTTACAAACATTTGTAGAATGACATCGATGACTGATTAATAATATTATTCTTGGAATTTGCTTATAAAAGAAGACACCTTTCTCATCTTTTTTTATTTCTTCTTTACTATTCTCTAGTTTTACTTTCTCACTTGTATTCAATCAATTAATCAATCAAATGGACGCTGCCGGAAACAACTTTGCTTCAAACCACTATGTTCGATCCTCTTGGATTGCCTTTTTCACCCTCTGGACTCTCTGGGGCCTTGTCTACTTTATTCGTCATGCCTTTGGTCGTGATGACACCAATCCCAACACCAGAGCTGCTGCTCCTGCTACGAATGTAGACGATCCGGAAGCAGCTAATAATGCTGCGGGAACAAAAGGAACAGGTCGATGGAGAAATGTGCATACGTCCATGGCTGATAGCTTAGGCAGAGCTCATCAAGTCTTGTTTGAAAACTCGCTCTTGCTCTTGTCCGTATTGACTCTCAACACTTTTGGATCCGGCGCTACCCGTTCTGTCATGATCTTGTCTTGGATGTAAGTATATATATAATATGTTTGCTTGAGATGATAAAAATAACGATAAAATAGTTTCTTTGCCTTCACTGCCATCAATGCCTTCACTGAAATTGCAGTCAAGCATCATTTCATCCGTTTTGTCTTCAACATCATCTTTTACGGTGTCACCCTTGCCATTGGTGGCCTTGCATTTAAGCACGGATGGTTCTAAGCTACTTTATTAATCACATCTTACTATTTACAACTTAATATCTTTAATGTTATTCTATCTGAACTTTTAATAGTAGTTTTTCTTTATAATAAAATATAATATTTTATTAATGGATACGTAATGCTTATCATGACAATAGTAAACTGTGTCAATGCTTTCACATAGTATCATTAGTAGTAAAAACAAAACTGAAAAACTGCTCACTAAAGTCAAGTGATCCGTCTTTTAGGCTGCATAATAGTAATACAAGACGACGTTTAACGTTTTTTTTTTTGTGTTCAAGATAAACATAGACGATGAGATGAGCACACTATGAAATACATGTGTATGTATTGTTCATGGACCAGCAACCAAAAAAAACTCTTGATGTACTAAAGTGGCTGTCAAAGAATGATGATATACACTCACATGTAGTCTGTCAACGTATTCGTTCTCACGGATGACACTGTATGTTGTTTTACTATCGTCTCCTCAAGCGGGAAATAACGATACGTAAACAAACAGATATTCCTTCATGTAGTGTTGTCTGTTTTCTTTAAAATTGAGTACACTTTGTTGCTATAAATACCGTGAGTTTGCATAAGGTTTTAAAAAAATCCATTAATGCAAATGATTAAAGAAACCTCTAATGTTACAATTACGAATCATGGTCAGATTTTGTTTTGTGGTCAAAATAATCTTTATAAAGTAATATATGGTACGTAGTCAGCATTATCGAATATGTTCCTCTTTTGGTTATTGCTTGTCACTCTAAAATGATAATGTATTTGACAGGGTTGTTTAGTTACATGCAAAACGCTTGTTCCCCTCTTCTGCATATTCAACAACAAATAACTGTATGTACCTCAAAAAGATAGGATTTAGTATAGATTCACTCTTATTTCATGAAACATGCATTTTATGATCCTTATTGGAAGAATCATAATTGAACTCCGAACGTAAAGGGTAGCTTTAAAGTTACTACAGTGTTTTAGTCTAAAGAGACGATTGCGGTAAATAAAATGAGACGAAATGATTTTTTTTTCAGGACAAAGCACTTTTTTTTTGAGACAAAATAGCTTTTTATTTTAGACAATTCATTATTTTTTTAGACAAAGTAACTTTATTTGAGACGATACAATTAATTGTAAGGTTATCTCAATCCTATTTCTCTGCTGGTACATCTTTCCCAAAAGACTTCTGAATGTCTAATCCAGCCTTGACGATGGCTGACGGTAACTGTCTGGCAGGCCTTAGCGATACGAGACGTAAGCTCGTTCTCCTTATCCAACGGGTTTCTTTTAATATTACTTTTAATTTTCGCCCGATACTCTTCTATAGAATGCAAGAAAGGAGAGTACAGCGGCATAAATAAAGGCTTATTACCTCTTCTGTTTATAGCTTCCGCAACAAAACGAGAGTGATAAATTATACACTTGTTCAAAGCGATGAAAAGGCATTTCTTGGCTAAAATACATGAAGGATGGATATAATCTTCAAGCCTCAACCTAAACTCTGAATTGTATTTTCATCGAGAGAAAAAAAGGAATGCTAGCAAGAAAGATCTGGGGAGGGAGAGGAGAGGTAGAAAATAAAGCAAACAACAGAAATCTTGTATGAAAGACAAGAATATTTGGTAGTAACTGCCTGTTGACTAGCTAGTGCTATTGTAAGAGAAGACTCTTGGGAAAGTAAACCATGCCTTTAGTTTACTGACTCAACCATCCACAGATGACGTACTCAGCAAGTGCTAGGTGTTGCGAAAACAAAAAATTTGTATACAGCCCTTCCATTATCCTTCCTTTTGAATATGCTACCTTCAAAGAAACCACGCTCCTTTCAAGCCTCTCTCCCATGGACCATCCGTTGGCCAGCTATCTGCACTCTTCTTCATGAGCTTGACTACCTCCATCATCAGAAGTGTCCACCTTCTCCGCCCCCACATCTTGGACAAAAGCTCCTCGATTGGCTCCCTCATTGTCCTCACTAGTGTATCTTACACTTGCCCCAATATCATTTCTTCAATAACTTTTTTACCCTTAATCTTATAAGGGTTTTTTAGATTCTAATTCTTCATTCTTTTTTGATCTGCCTCGGGCGAAGAAGATATATTATTATCGTGCGCCCACTTGAGGCTTTAATTGTAAATAAAAGACTGTTTAACCGTATACAGCCCTACAATTTACTGGCATAGGATCTGACACGCAATACAACATACTACAATGAATTAAAAAAGAACATAAAAATATAAGGTGTGATAAATATGCCATTTAAGAGCGATCGGTAACAATCATCAATACATGTGTTTTATTTTCTGTAGAATCTTTTTGGCACCCTTGTTGTTCAGCTCTTTGAGAGGTAGAGTGATCTTTTCTGCAATGCCAAACAAAATATCTTCGAGGGCTAAATTCCCAAAGCTTGTGATTGTGTCATTAACAGAGTCGAGCCCCAAGGTTTTTTTTTTGTGCTGCTGATGGACATAAGTTTTCTTTTCAACGGGCGGGGCAACCGATACAAGCTGTTTGCAACTAAACGTTTTTTCTTGGTTGAACAGCACTGCAGCTATAAATCTCATAGCACTTGATCCAAGCTTTACAACGCTAAAGTCATCACCCTCTTCTGCACAAAACGCAGTAAATGTTGTATATGGTCTCATGTATACGTTGTATGTGAATCTTGATGAGTATCTGCTAAAACAGTGGGTGTTGGAAATTGTAAAGCTTGAACGAAGCTGCCTGAGTTGTGAAAACTTATCAAAGTTGTTGATTTGTGTTGCTTTTTTTTTAACTAAAAGTGCATTTGCTTTTTTGATTGAGCTAGAAGAAACAAATAGCTTGGTGATGGCGTTTGGATGGGAGCGGTACGTGGAAGGACCAAGCTCGGGTTCCAGGCTTGTAGAGTCCAGACGCAAACTAGATATGACGAGGCCGCTGAAGACGTTACTACCGATAACAAGTTTGTGCGAGTTCTCCAAATTAATATTACAGATATTGATTGTTTCGTAAATTTTGTCACCTGTGGGGGCACTTGAGTTGGAAAATGCGCCATTAAAGCGTTCAGAGTGAATGTCTTGATGTTTTGAGCGGCTGTACAGTTCAATACAATTGACTAGCAAAACTTCGGTTTTTTCCATCGACAGGCATCCTGCAAGAAGTTGGGCACATACTGCACGTAGATGAAAGCCGAAATTCCAATCTTTGTTCAACAGCTCCAACTGAATTTCAGTAATTTCTGTATATTTGTCAGTCAACAAGGGTGTCGTATTGATTTTGCTAGTAGAGATAAGATACTGGATGTAATCGTTGTTGACTTCTATTTTAGTTTTTCTGTCATTGATTTTGCTATTGTTATTGTTATTGTTTTCAGGGCTGACACAAGGTGCGACATTTATTCCTCTCTCTTCACATGCCGTTAGATTCGAGACAACTGGACTTCTGTTGAAATAGAGTAACATTCATCTTTTGTATTTGGGGACATGGCGTAGGATTTCAAGTTAATACTGTTCAAAACACCTTCGATCATTTTGGACTGACTAATACGATTCTACTGATTTGGTAGAAAATATCCAAATGTTGTCAGGTAAAAGAGAGACTATATGTAGACGTTATACGGTCAAAGGTTCTACTTACAATGTAAATCCAATTTTATTACTTTTTAAAAGCAAAATAGTCAATATATTATGAGCACTGTATAAATATATTCAATGTGTTATTATAAACTATATGATTGCTGATGTTAATCCCATAAACAGTGGTAGGGCATAAATAATGCTCATTGTTAAAGGTATATTTTATAAGCTATGTCATTCTTAGGTGTAGTGTTTAAGTATAAATCGAATTTTATAATGCTTTTTCACTTGAAAAGCCTTCAATTTCCTTTCAAAAGAGTATTTTGCAGCTTGACGGGAGGATTACCTTTTTTGGATTTCGCAGTGCCCTTTCGCAGTGCCTTTAGTATTACTCCTAATTTAAGACAGGATATACAAGACGTCATCTCACTATACCATGAGTGTAAGCTCTTTAACATTGCTAAAACAGGATATCGCCCTCCTAAGAGCATCCTATCTAATGGTCCATTAGATCATTGGTACATGGACCTTGGTACTTTCAACTGCACGTCTTCTAGCAGAAATAATTTCTTACTAGTTATAATAGATTTATTTTCTCGCTTTACCATCTTACGAGCTATCCCGGATAGGCAAGTACTTACGATCGCTAAGGAGATTATTGATATCTTCTGTATGTTCGGCTGACCTAAGGTCATTGCTAGTGATAACGGAAAAGAATTTACTGCTACCATCGTTACTGAAATGATCAACAACCTCGATATCTGTAAGAGATTATCAAACCCTTTTAATCCTCTTGGTAATTCAGTTAATGAGGCCTTCGTAGGCATTGCAAAGGTCCCGCCTCATATGAATTGACAAATCATCCGACTGTGAAAGAGGAATCCAAAAAGCCAAAGGAGACTCTTGGGCAAAAAATTCAAGGCTTGTAAGCTGAAACCATTCAGGGAGAAAAATTGCTTAAAGATGTATTGAAGAACAACAATAACAGGGACTTCTTCAAGGATATCAAAGACTTGATGGCCAAATGGAGAAACAGCAGCCTTGAAGAAAAGGTTTACTTATACAACTCCATCCAACAAGTCAAAGATGAACGAAATCAGCCGTTCTTGTCTGTGCAAGCAGCAAGAGATAAACTGAAGTTGAAAAGACAACGGTTGCATTTTAAAAGGGTAGCGATGAAGTTCAAGCCTGCAATCACCCACAAAACAGCCACTGCCTCCCAAAGCAGTAACACTCAGTGGCATGTTGTGCAGAAATATGACCATGGGATTGCCAAATTGGAAGTTTGTCGACCAAGTCCACAGGTTAATCCTTCTGAAGGATTTATTTTTTTCTGTCACAGACAATGGCCTGAAGACTATGACAAGCACTGATCAGCTCACATTGAAACGATTCAAGTACAAAGCATTGGAGAATACCAATGGGTGCAAAGGAGAAGCTCAGAAAATAATGAGCAAATATAGCAGCAACGAATCCATGGTCAAATCATTGCTTCAGATACCATCTTCTATGATAATTAAAGCAAGCGATGCTGATGTTGGTTCTGGATACTATAATGTCCGAAGAAAGCTCCAAAAAGCAAAAAAATCATCACAAGGCCAAACAATACAAGACCCTGAAAATAATCTTTCAAATTTAGACTTAAGGACTTCAACAAGGGTTGAACAAGCACTAGAAATACACCAGCAATATGTCAGTAACCGTTTAGCTCCAAGAAATTTTTATAATTCGAAGAAGAGGGCTCAACTGAAAAGGGCGTATGAAGTGCAAAACAACCGCTTTCGAAGACGCTTGTGTGCGAAAGAAAGAACGTGTTTGATAGGCAAGAAGGGTAAAAAGCACAGTAGTATACGATTGATGAATACTAAATATTATATAAACTATTTAGTAAAAGGTAAAAGCAGATTATGTCCTGTCATGTTCACAGGAGATAGAAACACAAGAGTAGGCTCAAAAACAAAAGGATTTAGACGATATGGTGGAAAATGGAAGCAAGAATTACATGGAATGAACGTCAATGTGTGCATCACAAATGAGAACATATCTCAAACCTGCATTTACTGCTTCTCCAAACTAGACAATCCCATTCATCGGAAGATGATAAAGGACAAAGAAATCAAGACACAAATCAAAGAGTCCTTCTTGTGTCAAAATTCTGGCGATGTGTTGGTGTCAAACAAAAAAGCCGTCAAGCCGAGAGATGACCTTTCTCCACTTGTCAGGCCATTCTGGTCTATGCTCGCTACTCTTTCAGTGGACATTTCCTGAGTTATGTGCCAAAATCAGTCAATCCAACATTGGGTTTATAAACAAGACTGTATTCTTCCTAAATGAAAGAGAATGCTGAGAAATTAGCTTTGATGCCATTAATGGGTAAGTCATAGACATTTGAAGAGAAAGGCTGCTAAAATCCCTCAATAGAATCGGTTGTGACTTCGGCGGGCAATCTAACGTTCCCGTAAGCAATGGATGCGCGCATTCTGCAAGGATACTTTTGACGCTATTCAGTGTCCTTTATTTCTAATATATACGACACTGCATCATCTCATTTGATCTATGACTGCTCATTATCTGCTCTTTTTCTTGCTTCTTTATTTGATTATGTGTCTATAATGTTTGCAGACAAAAAGAGACAAAATGTGTGACAAAATCTGCTTCATTTTTTATTCTCTATTGCTCTATTCCAAACCCCCTTTGACACTCTCCATATGGTCTTATAAAACCACTCAATAGATAGAAATTCAATAAATGGTTTCTGCAAATGATTCCCTTCCTTTTGAGGACAAACACATCCATTGGGTACAATGTACTTGTATTCAAAAACCACCTCTCATTTCTTCTCTCTTGGGTTTTTCGCCACAGTCACGAGCTACCTTGATTTGTAGGCAGAAAAAAAAAAAACCAGCGAGAGAGGGCCCAGAGAGCAGAGAGATGGACAGAGAGAGAGAGAAAGAAAGAGAGCGGAAGAGAGAACAAACTTTTTTGGGTGCTTTTTTAATTTTTTTATTGCGATATTCGTACCTCTTTAATAAATACGAGACCACTCCTCTCCAACCTTGATCGTTTTACAAATCATATAAATTGATATATTCACCATGATCATCTTTAAACCAGACTGGGTTTCCCATGCAGGTAACCATTTTCTTCTTTATTCAAAAGAAAATAAACCCGATTATTTACATTAAGCAGACAAGACACAGGAAGCAAAAGGAAAGAAACCTTGTATTTATTCAATTCACGTTCATCCTGACGGTACACGATTAGCAACAGGTGGTTTAGGTAATATTATTGTTCAACTACACACGCACGCGTATGTTGCTTATTATTATTACTATTATTATTACCAGATGGAAAAGTTAGAATTTGGAATACAGAACCCATTTACGATGAAGAGGCAGAAAAGAACCCTAATTGTAATAAATTGCTTTGTACAATGACAATGCATAATGGTATGCTTTTTTTCCCTTCTTTTACGTTTATTATCATAAAAATCTTACATCAAAATAGGTGCCGTCTTATGCGTCCGCTGGTCCAACCATGACGGTCATTATTTAGCTTCTGGTTCTGATAATGATAATGTCATCATTGTTTGGGAAAAAGACGTGTAAGCATATAATAATCGATCTTTGTCTATTATACAACTCATTCTTTTTTTTTTCTATCAGTAATGCAAAAGTATCATCAATATTTGGTAGCACTGAGATTAATTATGAGACATGGAAACCTGTAAAGTATTTAAGAGGACATGAATCTGGTATGAACTAAATAGATTACAGACACTAAATCATTAACTCCTTTTTTTATTTAATAGATGTACAGGATTTGGCTTGGTCAAAAGATAATAAGTATTTAGCGTCCTGTGGTGTAGATGGACATGTCATTGTCTGGGACGGAAAAACATTTGGTAAGATAGTATGCATCTATATGTGTTTCAAAATATATGAATCAATCATCGATGAATAGAACAAATTAAGAAAATCGATAAACACGAAGGTTTCGTCAAAGGGATCAGCTGGGATCCTGCAGGAAAATACCTCGCGTCTCAAGTAAGTTTTTTATTTTTTCTTTATTATTTGGGCTCATTGCTTATATGTAGTCTGACGATAAAATGGTAAAAATATGGAGAACATACGATTGGGGATTAGAAACAAATATCAAAAATCCATTTGTGAATGCCCCTGGAACTACACTGTTTAGAAGGTTAAGGCAAGTGCAAAATATACATTGTTCTATACATAGTCTGACATATAACAACAGTTGGTCTCCAGATGGGTGTCATTTTGCTGCAGCAAATGCCGTCAACAGTATAAAATGTGTTGCTGCGATCGTAAGTCGAGATGATTGGAATGCAGATATATCGCTTGTGGGGCACAAACTTCCAGTCGAAGTGACCGTAAGTCGTTATTATTTGTTTTTTTACTCTCTTTAGTAAGTATTCTAGTGTTTCAATCCGAAAATGTTTTATATGAGTGATGATAATGAAGCAAATGGGCCTGGTGAAAAATCAGTATCGTCGATTTGTGCGCTAGGAAGCCAGGACAGGAGTATATCTATCTGGGTGACCAAGTTTAGCAAACCGATTTGCGTCGCAGCAGATATTTTTGACAATAACGTATATGATCTTGCATGGTAAATGTTTGTGTGTGTGTGTATTTCAGAAATACCTTTTTTGCTTATTCAAGATTAGGTCTCCCGATGGCAAGTGTCTCTTTGCTTGCTCTCAAGATGGTACTGTTGCCTGCCTTCAATTTGAAGAGGAATTGTCTGATGTGGTACCAGAGAATATTGTTGTAAGTATGAATGAAAGGGAGATGAAGGGGCTTACTTTCTAATACCAATTACTTAGAGAGAAAGATTGGAGAGATATGGCTATGGAAAAGATCAAACACAACTCTTGGAGACACCAATACAACTGGAACTAGAACAAACTACAGATACAGAGCCAGCACTGCCACCACGTGTTGCTGATCTCATGGACGGAAATGCGAGTATTGGAAATCAAGATACGCCCATGATAGAGGCACCACCTTTAACACCAGCTCCTCCCAATATAACCAACATATCATCATCAACTAGTCAACAGCCAACCATCTTGGAGCAAAAAGTATCTATCACAAAGGATGGTAAAAAGCGTATTCAACCCATCAGTCTGAACATGCGTACCTCGACCATGCATTCGCCGTCTACTGTTCAAGCACCTTTAATCCAGACACAGCCTATGAATCATATCTCTCAGGGCAGTTCCAAGATAAACCAGGCTGTAAGAAAATAGCATTTAACATGGAAAAAGTAGTAACGTTTTCTATACAGGATTCAGCAGTGAACGTGGATACAGTAGTGATAGGAAACAAAAGACCAGCTTCAGATGAGGAAGTGAACGAGGTGATTGGAAGCAAACCGACGAGAGCACGACCCAATTGGCTTGATAGCGCAGTTGCTCCTCCTATAGTGCAAAAGAGTCTGGTCAAGATGGCACTGCCTAAAGTGAAAACGGTTCTCAGCACGGGCTTAAGGCCAGAGGATCCGACAGTGGTGATGGAATGTCATAACACAGAGGATGCTCAAAGTAAGTCAATGATAAAAAGTTATGAATTTTTTTTTCTTAGTTTCTTTTAGGTTCAGTTCGTGCCAAATTGGTCGTCACAAGGCAAGGAACACCGATCTGGATGGATTATCTGTCAAGTGCTATTCTTGTCATGACAAGCAACGCGGAGTTCTGTGCAGCTGGGTGTGAAGATGGATCCATTCACGTTTACTCTCCAGCCGGTCGAAGGATTTTACCGGCGATTGTGTTGGAAAGCACGCCTGTAATACTGCAAAGCCATCATCAGTGGCTCGTCTGTATCACTGCGACAGGTCTGTTGTACTCGTGGGATGTACTGAATGTAAAAAGCCGTATAGACGGCGTATCTATAGCGCCGGTGCTGCAGGTAGCACAGCTTGAAACAGACAAGACACATAAGGCACCAAGCATCAAGAATATTCGAATCCAAAAGAGCGGATTGCCTATCCTACTGACAAGTTCTAATCAAGCCTTTGTATATCATACTGACATGAGGGTTTGGCTTCGAATAAGTGATGCTTGGTACATTATCTCTGAATTCTGGGGTTCGGCACGTCAAGCGGGTGATCATCCTCTAGCATGGCTTTCGTCCCGTATGTCGGCTTATGGAGTAGATCGATCCATGCATATGCTATTAGATGTATCAGCCGCAACCAAGGTCGTTACACTCAGTCATATAGAAATGCAGTTGGCGGTAGCCGCTCTGTTAGATTCTCCTACAGAGTATAAAGATTGGATGATATATTATGCAAGAAGACTATCCGAAGAAAATGCAAAGAATAAAGTAGAAGAATTATGTAAATGGCTAACAGGACCACCTTATGCGTAAAGATCATACATACACATAAAAGAAGTATATTTAAAACTAATAATGAATAATAGACCATTTCCCGACATTGTCAAGTGGGAGCCTACAATTCTCGTATGTGTAATCTATGTGCATTTGATATAACTAACATCAATTTTATATAGGGTAAAATATCAAAAAAGGAACTATTGGCAGAGATATTGCCCTTGTTGGCCAAAAATCGTCAATTACAAAGGACTGTTGCTGAATTCACGTCGTGTCTTTAATAAAAGCAACAGGAACCTCTTGCAGACTTTCAGTCTTTTTTCTGTGTTACCTCAGATTGATGTTGGCAGAGAATAAGCTTTTCTTGAGAACAATAAGATTTTTCTTCTCTCTCTCTTTCCTTTTCCTTTTATGTCTAATACTATCCTTTCATGGGACAACAGCAATCGAATAAACTGAATGAACCATTTACGTTTGGTTACATATCACAACCTCAAGAGCCAGATACAACCGAGCCATATACAAAGAGTTTGACCTTTACAGATTTTATATTAAACCATCCCGATTTGTATAAACTAGAAGAAAGCTCATCGATTTTACATCGAAACTTGGAAAATGATTTGAATTATATTGACCAAACGTATTATAACACAGAAGAAGAAGATGACGATGAAGAGGATTATACAAGCATTGATGATGAAACATATACTCTAAGGGATGAAGAAGGTTGGTCGAGATTAACAGCAGAGCAGGTCATGAGTCATAAGCGAATGACGTCTTTTGTGGATTTATCAAACCAGTCATTGATCAAACTTAGCTCGAGTATTGCTTATCTGAGCAATTTGACAAAACTAGACTTGTAAGGCTATTTTTATCTGTTAAAAAAAAAAAAGATGACTTATATTTGATAGGTCGAATAATTTAATGATCAACTTGCCACGAGCGATTGGTCAACTTGTCAACCTACGCATACTGAATGCTTCCAAGAACCAACTAGAATTTATACCAGATACCATTCAACAACTAAAGAGACTAAACACACTGATCTTGAGTGAAAACAAGCTGACGACGTTACCCAAAGGTATTGGCAGTCTACCGCAGTTGGCAGTCCTACTGTTAGACAATAACCAATTAGCTCAACTACCACAGGAGATATCACAATTAAGCGAGCTGATGACGCTCAATGTATCTCATAATCCCCTAAGAGCAGTACCTGCCGAGATAGCTTCACTTAAATCACTCAAAAAACTTTTAACAGAGGAGTGTTCCTTTGACACTGAATGCAGCTATCCTCTGATGCATGATCCACCTAGTTTATTTGAAATTTGTGCTAGACAAATCACCCAGCTCAAGATACCCATACCATATGCTCACATTGCTGAATACCTTAAAAAGAAAAAAGTGTGCTCCTTTTGCTCCGGCCCTTACTTTGAATCCTTTGTCTCACGGAAGCGGTTTGTTGAGAGGGTCAGTGGAGAGCCCATGGCCCTTGATTACACGCTCTGTACAGCTCATTGGACAAATGAAGATGATCGTTTGCTCGCTATGTTCTCAACTGGAAGTCAATTGAGTACGTCGCAAGATTGTCTCGTGGAGGTATCCTACAACAGTGATCCAGAGTCTCAAAACGAATTTGAAGAAAGCACAGAGACAACTACAAGTCAAGATCAGTCCACAGAAGACCTTTATCATAGAGAATCCTTGAATATACCATCCTCTGATTTAGACAGACCCAATAGTCATAGTAGCAACAGTGCCTCTTCAGAATCTCATGCTCTACGGCAACCAGATAGCTTTCAAAGTCTCATGGTAGCTTTACCTTTTATACATACCACAGATAAACGAACAAAACGACCTACTGTCAAACAAAGCTTTGCTCAACTCGGTTCTCGACTTGCAACATCTAAACGTGGAAGCAACAGTCGAGGAAGAAGCGAAACACTTTAATAAAAAGCGCCCCAATGAGATCTTGCGTGTCTTTTTTAAACTTCCGCGATTCATTTTTTTTTTTTTTAAAGTTGAGAGCCAAAAGTAAGGGCTTTTTGTATAGAAAATAATATAAAAACTTTTTTATTTTGCATTTATAAAATGAGTTTTAATGGATCAGTAGAGCTTTCAAATACCCCATCAACAAGACCAGAATCACATGCACTTCGTTATGGCTGGGTGTTTTGGTTCATGCACAGATCTCCTGGAGAGAAAATAGTAGATTATGAAGGAGCCATGAAAAAAATAGCAACATTCAAGACTGTAATTTATATAAAATATATATAAACAACAAAAATAATGACTAGAATTATATAGGTTGAAGAGTTTTGGGCTGCATATAGTCATTTACGTCGTCCGAGTGATTTACCAAATATTAGTGATTATCATTTATTTAAACAAGGCGTACGACCTGTTTGGGAGGTAATAATAAAGAGCGATAATAGAGGAGAAGCTTATGATTATTAGGATGATGTGAATATAAATGGTGGGAAATGGATTGTAAGAGTCAAAAAGGGGTTAGCAAGTAGATATTGGGAATCATTAGTATTGGCAATCATTGGAGATCAATTTGATGTTAATGATGAAATATGTGGAGCAGTATTGTCAATTAGAGGATCAGAGGATATTATTTCTGTTTGGAATAAGACATCATCTAATGGAAAGATAAACTTGAAGATTAGGTAAGAGAATATAAGATGTGACAACAAAATCTAATATATACATATATATAAACAGAGATACTATCAAAAGACATTTAAACTTACCAGCTGATACAATCATGGAATATAAAACACACAATGATGCACTTAGAGACAAATCCAGTTTCCGTAATACTGATGTATTTCGATAAAAAAAAAAATAGGGCCAATTAAATTTGAAAACATATCTCTTTCTTTTCTTTTTTCTTTTTTTTTATATGTTAATGAAGTCAATTCTTATTGCTGTTACGGTATTGATTCAGTCAGCATTGGCAAGTTACTTTGTTAGTGACGACGTTTTAAACTTGCCAAGATACAAAGTTTCCTTATTAACAACAGAAAAGATACCACAATCTCAATTACATGATGCTGCCTTTAGCGATCAAACAATGCTGATGAGAGACTCATATGGTCAGCCATTTTTATGCAACATTCCTCAAGTTGATCGAGATGAAGCAGAGCATCAGGAACAAATGGAAACAGAAACAAAAGATACCCAAGAGGATGAGCAGAAACTGATCGAAAGAGGGCTGGAGCTTCTTCAACCCTTAGAAAACAGCTGTCTTCAGTTTTATGTAACTATCGAAATGGGCCAAAAAGAACGACACACAATTAATCTTTCACAATAGACGCATCAATACTGGGCCTATGAATACTGTCACAAACAATATGTACGCCAGTTTCATGTCGAAAGTGTCTATGACGGTAGAGTAGAAAGGAAGAAGGAAACAGCGTCTCATTATCTGGGCAAATACCCTGGCGTGACCATTGATCAAAATCCAATCATCGAAAACGCATTACTGCCAACCATTCGAAGAGACAAGACAGCCAAGAGACCAGCCACGACCTTGAAGCAGGTAGGAAACCAACGCTACTTGTTACAACAGTGGGGGGATGGATCTACATGTGACTTTACAAAGAAACCACGTACAGTTGAAGTGCAAGTAAGTAAAGGAAATCATCAGTTTAATTACCTAATGTGCTCATAAATGATAGTATCAATGTGAATATCAGGGACATGACAGGATTTCTTATATGGAAGAAATATCTACCTGCCATTATTTAATTGTGATCTCAACACCCAGATTATGCGAAGAAATGAAATTGTCTCGTATCCCTAAACCAAAAATACATACTATTTCATGCACACCTATTGTATCTGATAAACTAATCGAAGCAGAAAGGGAACAAGAACAACAGAAACAAGAACAACAGCCATTGATTGAAGAGCAGAAAGAAGAAGAGAAATCGATGGATGGTGAAACTAAAGAAAGAGTGATTTCAAAGGATCCTATTTTAAAGTTGCTCAATGACCTTAATGAACAAATTGACCTGTTGAAAAGTCAAGTCAATGGTTATTCATCTAGTGACGATGATATACACGTCATGTTTATTGATGAGGATGGCAATTACATTTCTTCAAACAGTGAGTTAAAGAAACTATTAAAGTTAGAAAAGACTTTTAAGAAAAAGGAAGAAAAAGAGCAAAAAGAACAACCAAGACTCAAATTGATAGATCTCTTTCAACAGCAATAAGATGAAAAGAGAGAGAGGCCTTGTCTTCTCTCTTTAAAACACCGCTTAAGGGCTAGCCTCACCCTTCTCTTTCTCTTGACATTTCTTCTTTTTTTAATTATAAACAATAAAGATGGGATTAGCTCAATCAAAGACTCAAGAGGAACCTATCATCTTTATCAACCCAAACGTTCCTGTCCAGGTTAGCTCTCCTTCTTAAATATACAAACACCTTTTGCTTAACAATTAAACAGTTCACCCCAAGCTTTATTCACTCTTTAGAAAAAAAAGTGGAACAAACAACCGAGAGAGCTGAAGCACGTCAAGTGGAAGCACTTGTACGCGAAAGAGTTGCTGAAGAACTTGTAAAAATGAAACAAGCTGAAAAGGAGATTAGTCAAAAGTTGCAGGTTGAGTCTGCCAGAAATGATAATCATCAATTGTCGTCTCTTGAAACAAGCGACGATATCGAAAACATGATCAAGAACATTCAAAGGTATATATATATATATATATAAGGATATATATTCAATTGTACTCATGTTTTATAGAACGACTACCAAGGAAATACCTTTAGAAATTAAAAAGCACCAAGAAAAAGTGATTGCTTGCTACAAGTAACTATATCATCAATCGAAAAAAAAAAAAGAAAGCTCTAATAATACTTTATTATTTAGCAACAACAAGGATAGATCTCTTGACTGCTGGAAGGAAGTAATTGATTTTAAGCAAGCTGTACTTGATGAACAAAAGAAGTTTGTATCAAAGGCCAGTTAGATTATTCCCGTATTCTTTAAATACACACCCTATTTTTGATAGTCACAATGTTTGTTCAATGTTTAATGATTTTTATTCTTGTGGAAAGTATCATGCGACAGAGGTCGCCATATTTTCGGATAATCTAAATAGACTCAAAAGTGCATAGAATATCTCTTGATTTTATGACATTTGATAATATAGGAGCCTTATTATTACTATAATGCAAACATGATGTATCAAAAGAAAAATTATTGTCACAGAGATGAATCTTGTACGAATGTCCCACCATCTGAGTGTAGATTCTAAATGTGGCTTGTTTAACTTATAAAAGGAACCTGTCAAACTTGAAAAGTTTTTTTTTTCTTTGCTTTACAATCCTACTATATCCTGTGGTCTATTCTTTATTCGATGAATTATACCCTTGGGAAATGTCGGAAAGATATAAATGGTTCTATTATGGATTGACATGTTTTCCTGTTTGCATGTCGACACATAAAATAGAACCAAAATATATAATATTAACCAAGTATATTATAAGCCTTTAATAACGTGCGTCGATTTGTTCCCCTTCCACCTTGGACATCTCGTTCCATGACAAATATCGCATCTTGTACAGTGATCTTTCGTTCGATCGATTCTGCTTTTAGAGGCACCTTTGATTTCTTTGAGTACCATCCCTTTTCTGAATTGAGTACATCATCCATCTCTTCGTCCACCTTTGCCTTGGATTCGTCGGCTCGTTCGATGGCCTTGAGCTGATCTTTAACTTTTTGTTTGACGTGAATTTTGTAAAGGGGATGATTGTCTTGTTCCGGTGGCTTTTTGAAAGGATTTTCTGTTCGATGTCGAGAGGCACGTACCATATTTTCCATCACGGTCCTGATTCTATCCTGGGTTGCTAATGCCAGGTAGGATATAAAATCTCCATCAATTTTCTTTATATTTGCAGATTTGGCTACAAAGAAAGTAAGAGCCTGCTCCTTAGATTGAGTGATGTCCCATATATACACATACCGTATTTAAGAATCCTGTCTCTTAACATGGCAGGATTCATAAAGTCCTGGAATTTGGATCTATCAATTCCATCAGGCAATACTGTTCCAGAAGCATCTTCCTTCATAAAATGCTCTGCTTCCTCTTTAAGATCAACACCTGCATAGCCCATAACATCTGTCAATGCTTCATAGTCTACCCTGTCTCCTCCTCCTCCTGTTGATGTAGGCGTCGGTGCTGCAGTTCCAGGTGGTTTACTAAATTTGCAAAAAGTCATTTATCAAATTACAATAATTTATGTTCCCATTGTTACCTTGTAGACGGTACGGCAATGTTTGATTTTGTGGGTATTTGTAGTACGGCTGCGTCCATCGCTTTAAACGGAGATTGTTGTTGTGGTTGCTGTGGTCCAGCAGGTGTTGGTGGCTTCACAAGGGAAGGGGTAACAATATTCGGCTGAATGGGATATTGTTGCTGTTGTTGCTGTGGTAATATCGAAGGTGGCTGTGATGTGGGTACCCTTGGTGGTGTCATCATAGGATATGTCATTTGTTGATTGATTGCATTCATTGGTATATGCTCTGATTTGGGTTTTTTTATTTGTGGTGAAGTTCTACGAGAAAATGTTATCATATAAATATTCAGCTTCTACACGCGTACATTAATAACAACTTACATGTTACTCGCTGGATTTAGCTTTCTCTTTCTTTGATCTTCTTCCATCATTTGTTGTTGTTGTTGTGGCTGCATTTGATGATGGTTTATCATCGGTTTTGTCTTTAAATCCTCTAATTGTTGGTATTGCTGCTGACCCAGTATAGCTTTAGCCTGTGCCATGAACTCTGCAGCTGAAATAGTGCTTGTCTGTAAGTCTCTAAACAATTGCATAAACTTTTCTTTTCTATCAGGTGGAAGCTGTGACGTTATGTTATCTAATAAAGTTGTTGATGAAGCTATAGTAATAATTCTTGAATTCTTTGTTTTTGCTATACAAAAATGATGCTGCTTACCTTGCTGTGGTAGTGATGGTGCTGCAGACTGAGATGGCTGAATAGGTTGCGCTAGTACTTGAGGTACTGGTCCAGGAGGAAGAACATGTGACTGTGGTGAATGTGTAGCCAGTTGCTGTTGAGGTGGTTGTTGTTGATGAGGTTGTTGCTGCTGTGGAAGAGCACGAGGTATTGCGGTTTGCTGTGATTGGGGAGATCCGGTTGGATTAGTCTGTATCTTTAAAGGTTGCTGAACAAATGGTTGTGTATGATCAGCATTGAAAAGTAAATCATGAGGGATGGATGCGTTCTGTGTAGATAATAAGTCGTCCGTTTCACTTGAGCTAAAGAAATCTTGTAATTCAGCAGGCAAATGAGCAAAAGAAGGCATCATGTCTTGATTGTTGCTCGTGTCTGAAAATGTTTGCACAATGGTTTGAAATGAAGAGTCATTCACGACTGAGTTGCCGTTAAGTATATCATTAATAGAGAAATTAAGATCTTCAGGACCTAAGTTTTGTGGCTGTTGTTGATGATGTTGTTGCTGTTGTCCATTATGACCTCCTTCTGCCATTGTTGAAAGTGTATTTCGAAATACAAAAAGAATTTTTTGTATAGCAGGATAATGGAGGCAAAAAAAAGTGCTGGGATTCAATTGCTTCGACGTCATATTTTAGCAAGTGGCGGAGGTTTAGTACCAAGTTACTTTGTTTTATGCTTGTTTGTGTGTTTAAACAGCACTTTTATTCGAATAGTTAATATTATAGTTTGTAACAAACGGGAATATTGCTTATATTTTTTCGATCCTTCTTGCTTGCTTTTAATTTGTGACAAAAGAACACAAGGTGAAAAAAAGTCCAAGACTCACTGTATTCCTTTGGACTTTAGGAACAAAACGATACTGCTGTGTTTAAAACTTGACAGATTTAGAAAAACAATTCATTTCATTTATTGAAGATTTGCCTTTTTGATTCAATCGCCTTTACTTTTAAGGGTATCTGTTGGACTAAAAGTCCTCTTTGTTAGAATTGATCCAAAGAGTTGTATACATTTTATATTTTAAACGTATACACATATAATTATTTTGTACAGGTCACTAGGCAATAAAATTGCCTATGAAAAAAGGCGTAGGGCATAAATATCTACAGTAATGTAATCATTTCTTTTCTCTTCTCTTTTTCTTCCATGTTCTTCTTGGTCTCTTTGATGAGTTGCTACTATTATTGCTTCTCCTTGTAGTTGTACTCCGTTTTCTTGTAGTAGAACTTCTAGCAGTAGTAGTTGTAGTATGTCTATTATTACGCTCGAATTGAGCTAGGAACGGATTATCACCCTGAATATCCAATACGTTCGTGAAGCCTTCTAAAGGTGAAAGATATCCATCGTCCTCTTCTGCATTAGGATTACACAAGTCTATTACACTGCAGTCTGATTCACTAAAGTCTTGATCCTCAACTGTTTCTTCAATTGCATCATCAGTCAGTTGCTCATCAAGACATTCTGCTTCAATGTTTTTGCATTCTGAAAGGTGTAATTGTGCTGCAATCTCATCAGCAAACCAGTTCTCGCAAACTGAGCATTTGATATTCTTTTCAATCTAGTTAAAAGAGAAGTGAGCATCAGATGTGATAATACTATTTAATAATTACTTGTCTATTATAGCTGTGATTAGCAAAAGTGGATTCTTCCTGTTCGTTATCCAGAAATGCCGTCAAGTTTTCAATAACTATTTGTTGTTGTTCTTCTGGTTCTTCTTTTTTTAAGAATTTCGACAAGTTTTCAATGACAATATTTTCCTGCTCTTCAGGATCATTTTTGATCAGGAATGAAGACAAGTTATCAATCACCAATGGTTCGTCTTTCTCTTGCTTTACGGATGTTGTTCTTTTTATTTTGGGTTTTTTTGATGTTGTGGGCTTTTTCTTTGGGGCTTTTTCCTGTCTTTTCACATTGTTTGGTTGTCTACGATGTGACACTGTTTGGAACCAATCATCCTCTTCAATATCAGCAGATGAGGTAGACGATCTCTGTTGCCGTTCTCTTTGAAGTAATTCAAATAACCGTTGCTGTTCAAGAATATGCTCTTTTTTGCTTAATTCAATGGCCAGTTGCAATTCTTTCTCTTCTTTATCCTTGATACTTTCCTTTTTATTAGCAGCTTGTTTATACAAATCTTGCAATTTGTATTGCTTTGCTTTTTTCAACATCAAAATTCAAAAGCAGAAAGAGAGGCACAGGATTTATTTTTTTCTTTTTTCTTTTTGAAAGCATTTCCATGTGTATGCTACGTTCATATAATGGCACATAGCTCAGGCTGTACCAATTTATAAGGAAGAGTATCCAATGAGCGTCTCATTAGCCTTACTTTTACTATCGGGAAACTCTTTGAGAAGTGTCTACAGCCTATGGTACAAAACTCCTTCCTTGCCTTGGTATAGCTTAAAGAGGGCTCCTCACACAACAAAGGGCACAGGATCAAGCTCCTCATTTGCGACAACTCTGCTTCTATCGCCACAAACTGTCGGTATTTGCATTCTTAAAATAAAGGATGCTTATGACCCTGTCGATAGGTTTTTCATTTGGAAGCAGCTGGCATCTACTACTACACTAGTCTTGTTGATCCTCAGTTAATGGAAAGAATATTGTTTATTTTTTAGAAAAACACATTCATATAACAATTCCGTAATTGCTTTTCTTTTTCTTTGAGGGCTTTAACCTCGTTTTCATAGGCTTCAATTATCTTGTCTAGACACTGCTTATTGGCCTTTATTCAACATAGAATATGATAATTCCTGTGCTCAGACTTCATTAATAGCCTGCCAGCGTGCCTACGCATGCCTTCACCTAGTTCTATTACTGAGCTTGAGCTTTTTTGGAACCACTTCATGAGTTAGCTTCTCTACACTGACGATATAGCTCTCATAGATACGGCAGATCTTCTCTAACGTTGTGAAGTTCATAGTTTTTTCTATTGTTACCGTTGAAACACCTCCAAAGTGCGCTGTACTGGGCCCTTTTGTCTCTAGGATACACCGATTACTGTTAAATACACACGTTCCTATATCTAGGTGCCCCTTTCTAAAAAGACGGTTATATTGCTACTAAGTCAATGATCAAGCATGAAACTCTGAATTCCAAATCTACCATGAGTATCCTTTCGACCGCCGAAACGAGACACACGTGAATACGTACTCAAGACATTTAAATTATTAGCCAGTCTTGGACGCTTCGAAAGTTGAGGAGAACCAAGTAGGAGACACGGTGAATGTAACGTTACATTCATTGAACAACTCCATAAGACATGACTTGAAGAAAGAACACTCCAAGGACTATCAAGAGGTCGTACAAGCTTTAGTTCACGATATTTCCGTGGCACCCATAGAGAAAACACAAAGGGATTCTATGGCCAAGGGTCTTTTTTAGTAAGAGAGGTCGAACTGATAGCAACTTCGGTCAGCATAGAGGTCAAAAGCCAGTTGCTCGCCACTTCAGTAGTTACAACAAAACAGATTCTAACAGTCAATAACTTCGACCAGTCCATATGTCGCCTCAAACAAAATTATGCTGCACCACCGCTTATTGCCGACTCCAAGTTTTCAACCTGGTAGTTCCTCAAGAATCAACCAGTAGCAGTTACAGTATACCACCAGATGTAATAGCTCCCGGAGGCCATCTGGCACGACTTCTATCAGCATGGGTGACAATAACGAATTACCCATGGCCGATTTCAGTAATTTCTCAAGGATACCAGCTACAGTTTGTAAAGCAGCTGTACCCTGGAGGCCTTTGAAAATGAGGATGCCCACAGCAGACCAGCAAGCAGTCAATACAGCAATATCACAGCTTCTGCAAGCAGGTATTATCAAAAAATCGCCGACACAGAGCAAAAAGTTTTTGTCGACATTTTTCACCGTCCAAGAAGCGCTCCATATTGAATGACGCGTACGCCGTAGTCCCCATTCAAGAAGATACCTAACCTTTCAAAATGAGGGAATAGTGTATCTATATCAGGCGCCTGCATTTGGATTAAAATCATGGATATGCCCTAGAAACATTTAGGCTCATGTAGGAAGAAGGAAAGGAATAGAGCCGGACAGGAACTAAGGCGCTATATGGTACAAGACATAAGAGCGAGATAATTGACAGTAAATATAGAGAGAAGAGGAATAGACAGATATTAAGCAAAGCGTATAAAGTGTATAAAGTGTATAAAGTGTATAAAGTGTATAAAGTGTATAAAGTGTATAAAGTGTATAAAGTGTATAAAGTGTATAAAGTGTATAAAGTGTAT